TGACACTTTATGTACATACGGTTTAAAAATCCATCTTTGCACATTCTAACATTTGCACACTGGGCACCTATTTATTTATTTTTTATTTTATTGATTTTTCCATTTCATGTTGTATAATTTGTTTTATATTTTATGCACTGTTGGGTGTCTGTGGGGTTGTCTGTGTTTTATTGTAGCTGCTGGAACAAAGTAAGTTCCTGTAAAAGGATCAATAACTATCTAAACTTTCTAAATAATAGTAGATGTTTAAACAAAAACAGACCTAAAAAGTGGGTGGAGAGTAGTCTGAATTGGGTTCTGGAGCAGTGCCCCACCTCATACATCGCACTCATTTGCCAGCCGCGAGTGATTCCAAGCCTGCGAGCTTCACATCCACCAGAGGAGCTGAGAAACTGCTCCGCCTGGCTTCTCCTGTGAGAACTGCCCACCGTGGCCCATTATTTCTGTTCACTCGCTCACCCGAATCAGGTGATACCCTGCGAGGGTAACCATTGGCTCCTGTCTCAGACCTTCCCCGAGGTGATTGGTGGAGTGACGAGCACTCAGCATGTGACCTCTACAATGAGCTTCCGCCCACTGCAGGAAACGTCATCACCGAAACGGGTTTATAACCGGCCTGCTGAACCAGCCGTGCTTGTTATGGTGTCAACTATCGACTACTGATGAAGAACCAGCGTTATTTTAATGCGTGGATAAAATACGATGTAATCTAATACTCTTAGTACTGGAATCAAATTATGCTCGAAACAGTCACAGTGACAATGTAATCCTAAACTGGGAATCACAGTTTGCTAATACATACGTTATGCTGGGATGCGTTGCATGCTGGGAAGCATGTGCGTCACGTCACAGTCGTAGCAGAATTCACAACATTTGTATTTTTCGACCCAAAAAATACCTAATTTCTGTATATGGGAAAACTGTTAATGTAGTACTTTAAATCAGAATTCAGCTACTAGATTTTTAAAAAGGGGGAAAAAGGACGAAGGTAAGATATGCTCGTTATTCTCCCCTCCTTTTCCTTTTTCTGGCATTTTAAACCGACTGTAGAGTAATTTCTATACGATTTCTGTTCTTTCGTACCATTTATTTTTATTCAACAGTGTATAAAAAATATCACCATAATTACAGAGTTTGACATAATTGCAGCTTTGACAAACACACCGTTAACGGGGCTCCTGCGCCTTTAAATTTTCCCATGATCCCTCGCGGTGTCGAACGTTTAAATTCGCTCTTTGCGGACACAATAGACGATCTATGAAAGACAAAGCTGCGCTAAACAGATAAAGTTTGATTTACTAAAGCTAACATTACATAATGAGGCCAAAACCGTTTTTTGTGACACCATGATCTTGACCAACACTCGCCTCTCCTCGTATTTATCCTCCGTGTCTCCTCGTCACATCCGGGCATTCAGAACACTTGCAATCTGGGCTACACACTGAGAACCAGTTTCTCCTCCATCGCCCAGGGGAAAGTCCCCGGACCCGTGGCAGAAAGTGTCCTGGTTGAAGCCAGCGTCGGCCTGCGCTGCACCGCGATGAGCTGAGACGTTCACCGCGAACTGAGCTCGGTGGTCGCAGGTCGACTTTGTCAGCGTTAATAGTAATGCAAGTAAGCAGCTACTTAACAGAACGGGGCTCATTCTCGGAATGCTCACTTTTGTTAATCATATCAGAAGTCCTATTTATCTTGTAAGTTCCTTTTATTATAAGCATAATTTAACTCCACTTTCCTCTCCAGCTTGGAACAGCAGGTCTAATTAGTCATGTATCAACAGTTCTTAATAAAGCCATGATTTGAGCTGCTCATTTACACACACAGCTCCTTCTGCTGCTATTAATCATGTAAATTGCTTATTGGCTCAAAAGTTGCATTTGCAAACAAACAAACAATCAAACAACAACAACAGAAAACACAGCATGTAATGTTTTAATTAATTCCATTTTCATTCTTTTTAATATAGTGGAATTTGTTGTTCCAATCTCTACGACAGAATCTGTGTCGTGAAATATTTTTTTTCTAATTTAACAGCTTAAAAATTGAAAAATGTAAATGTAAATTTCCTTCTTTTTTTATTCTTTTTTTTTTCTAACTAAGACCATTTACATGCAGTGTTTGTGTCTTTATGTGTAGATATGTAGATACAAGAAGTATTCTTTTATTTTATTTGCTGAAACATTTTCTGCAGCTAAATAACTCCAGATCTGAAGTGATCACAGTTACCCAGATTCTAGCAGCTTTAATAATCCCTCCACTAGTCTGGATACCTGTGTAGTAATGTTTGTAAAGGTGTTATTTTTAACTGAGTTGTCTTTCAATGCTCAGGTTTCCGAAGTGGTGCAATGAAACCTCCAAAGCTGATTCAAGCGACTGCTGCCAGGCCTGATACACACCAAGAGAAGTCACTGTATTACCTCGTTCCTAACTGCCCTTCTCTGGTCACCGGTAAGTTTGAGAATTCATTTTTAAGATCTTATCTTTGAATTGTGAGGCTCCTGTGGATATCTGTGATCTGCTAACTCCATGCCAGGCTTATCACTGCCTGAGAGCCTCCAGCAGGATTCTGCTAAAAGGTCAAAAGCTGTTGTGGTTTGGGACGGTGGAGATCTCAGGCAGATAAACTCAGTATGCTCTTATATTATTTTATCGTATCACTTATTCTGTTGGCAGTTGTAGTAACTTTTTCATTCATTTTAACCTGGGATATTGTATGTTTTGAAATTATTTACTTGCAATATCTGTTTTCATTTTGAAGCCCTTTGTACGTTTGTCTTTAAAAGGCGATATATAAATAAACTTCTTATTAGTAACTATACCTAAATTTGCACTACTTGTACTTCCCTTTCTTTTCATGCAGCCTTATACTTTTTACTCTCCTAAATTCATTGTGGCTTTCGTTACTTTTCATATTAAATATATCATGATGCTTTATTGCATATTTAAAAAAAACAACAGAAATAGAATTGAAAATGTATTTTAAAAGCATTGATTGATAAATGTCAATTTGCTAATTGTCAATATATATACATATAAAAGTTAGGATTTGTTCCTTTTTAACAATGTTGAATATCTGAGTTTATTTTAAGTCATTGTGAGTTCGAACTCCCTTTTGAGTTCTGGATAACTGGATTTTGACAAACTATATAATCAGCAGATTATTTAAACTAAACTGTCTTCAACAGTAAAACGTTGCTTACATATGAATGCAAGAATAACATAACAATACGTTATACTTGCAAAGTTTTACTTAAAAAACATTTTCTGTATATACATTTTACTTATAATGTGTAATGTCACAGTGCAGTATTTGTACTCTTACTTTAGTCAGACAAAGCTTGAAAGCAGGCGTCACTTTACCTTCTCTTAGTTTTGATCAATTCCTGGATGCATATTGGCTCATAAATGTTACTTGTTCCCACGTGTAAGTCAGCAATATAACTTCAGACTACACAAAACACAAAAAAAGATTTATCGTAAGGTATTCACTAGTTTCTGATTCTTGAAAAGTGGGGAAAAAAACTGCAAAATTCCCCAAAACTATTGTTTCTCTGAGCTATTTCAACAACAGAATAGTGCATACTATTTAGACTATTTCATGTAATCTCCTCTTACATTCCACTCACTTTGAACTGGGGAGACTAGACTCCCACTTTACAAACCTCTGGAATATACTGAATACACTAGTGTAGACTTTTCATCACCTATATTCACCTTCTGTTACAGCGTATTCTCATGAACTTCAGGATAAAACACAAAGCAGAGTATGACAATACAGGTCACTAGAACCTTTTTTAACACCAAGTCCAGATGATGCCCTTGATCTTTTCTTTTTTCAGTTTTTTTTTATTTACAGGGTATTCACATGAAGCAGCTATTCTGCTGTTCATTCTTTAGCAATGCACTTGCAGCAGTTTACTGTAGACTCAACTTAACAACTTAATGTCCTTTTGATGGCTGTTTTAAGCAAAGCAAATTACTTTAGCTGGACATGATAATGCATCATGTGGCGATCAAGGGCTTCATATAGAGCAGCTGTTGACATGTGTTTAGGTCTCCATCTTGTGGTTCAATCTGTGACATGCAGTCCAAGAGCACCAAGCAACATCCAACATGCTCAACATCCAGTGAATTTAGGCAAATTTGCACATAAAACTCTGTTTCTCCTTTATTTCATACATTTATGCATCAGTTTTGTGCAAAACAAAAAATTTAAACGGCTGTATTGTTTGATATTTTAACAGAAATGAGATTCTTATGCTGATTCTAAGAAATATATGTACCTATGATAAGACAGGATATATATATATTTTTAAAGTTGCTAAGATAGTTATTGTCATGGATTTAGGCAGCAATAATTTCACGCAAAAATAATTCCTCTGATATATTTATACTTATTGCTGAGGGCTTTTCATATAGTATAGTCTTCCATATGTGGAGCAGTATGAGCACATTTGGTGTTTTAATGCTGTCATCTTTTCACCACAAAGATAACAGATAAGCTGGGAATCAAGTGGAGGATAAAGCACGAGGTGACGGAAATAAAAAGGTGCTTCGTCATTATTCTACACTGTCTGAATTGAAAATGGCCAGTGGGTCTCCATTTTCTCTGTGATCTCACCTTGCTGGGAGAACAAAGAGTCTCCTCTTTCCAGAATAAAGCCACTAGAGGGAGTCTGAGCCCCACAGCATCTCTTTTAATTCTGTCTGACATGAGAGGGCACGCTCACGCACACACAGACGTACTGTATACCACAGGATTAGGCAGCGCACAAAAAAGATTACAGCGTCACATGGCGGCCCCTTCCAAATGGTGCCGTCCAGTAACCTACTTCCCCCCTCTGAGGTATCCCATCATTCATTTGGAGTGGGCGTAGGCTCACGCAGCAGCAGCATCACAAAGGTTCAGCTCCTCCCTGCTGTATGCTGGAGGGAAGGAGGGAAGGAGGGAGGAGGGAGGAGGGAGAGACGGGAGAGGATCAGGGTCAGATGAATTGTAGTCTGAGTGACGGAGGCTCGGAGGATGTGCAAATGAAGAGGTGAACGTACACGTGTGTGTGAGAGAGAGAGAGAGAGAGAGAGAGGACGAAACAGGCAGGGTTAGAAAGAGGGTTGTGTATATGTGAGAGAGGCAGGAGGAGGAAAGGGACATAAAGACAGGAAGGAAAAAGAAGGGGGGGCAGGAGAGGACAGAAAAGAAAAAAAAAACACAAGACAAGAGGATCCACGCTTGGAGGGAAGATGGCTGAGCCGGAGCTGAAATCGAGGAGCAGCCGGGAGAGCGTTGCCAAGGCGGCGAGCCAGGAGAAGATGGGAGGTAAGGTAGAGTGCATGCTCACACTCCTGTAAACACCACATGGCGCAGGGCTGCATAATTCTACCATGCGCTCTGATGCAACGCTGCCTGATGCAAGAGTGGAAATGCAGAGTTGATGTGGCCATGAAGGCTGTTTTGGGTGTGTGACGGTAACAGGTGACTGAGATGACAGGTGAGAGACTGTTTACGCGTGTTAAATAAAGGAAAGTGGGTTTATAAACACAAATATTCAATACAGGAAGGAAGATTTAGTGAGATAAGATGTAAATTTACCTTTTGTCCAGCATAACCTTTTGTCAGATCTTATCCAGGATGAAAACTGAATTAATGATTTAAAAAATATTAAATTTTGTTCTTAATTTCTCATGTGTACAGTCTGATTGTACATTTTGTTCAATGAACCACATCCTACAAACATCACAGCATTCAAACTTTATCTTGTATTCCTCCAATGTGAGACTCTCTCATCTCGTCCCCTTCTGTCGTCTCCAGCAGCTGAAGCAGACCCCGACCAAGACGGACAAATCGTGGAGCGTCCAGCATCTCCGTCTGCCCCCATGGTCCCTGCTCCCACGACTCCCACCGGCAGCCAGCCCGGCAAAGGGGAGAAGATCGAGCTCAAGCGCAGCATCACCCTCTTCAACGGCGTGGGAATGATCATAGGCACCATCATCGGCTCGGGCATCTTCGTCACTCCGACAGGCGTGGTCAAGGAGACGGGTTCGGCCGGGCTGTCCCTCATCGTCTGGTCAGCCTGTGGGGTCATATCCACCATGGGCGCCCTCTGCTACGCCGAGCTGGGCACGACCATCACCAAGTCCGGGGGGGACTACACTTACATCCTGGAGGTGTACGGCGAGCTGGCGGCCTTTCTGAAGCTGTGGGTGGAGATGCTCATCATCCGGCCTTCGTCGCAGTACGTGGTGTCGCTGGTGTTCGCGACCTACCTGCTGAAGCCTCTCTACCCCGACTGCCCCGTGCCCGACAGTGCCGCCAAGCTCATCGCCTGCTTGTGTCTTAGTGAGTAGATGACGTTGGGATTTTGTAATCTCCAAATCATTTCAAATGCACTTTTGTATTTCATCTCATTGTGGCTCATGTTTCTCTTTACACTTTGTGCCTCCTCCCTACCTGTAGCCTCTCTGACGTTTGTGAACTGTATCAGCGTTCGGGCGGCCACCAAGGTCCAGGACTTGTTCACGGCTTCCAAGTTGCTGGCCCTCATCATCATCATCCTCTTTGGCTTCATTCAGATCTTCACAGGTGAGTTCCACATTCGCATACAGCAACAAAATCTTTAGATTTTGGCAATTCAGTGTTTGTAATGGGTCTGACTTTGGACTGTTTTAATTATTCACTTGAAAGAAATCTGACACCAATCAATTCACTTAAAACTCAATATCAGCAGGGTGACCAAAAGTAGGGCAAACCGGGTATCTAGGATTAAAATGTTACACCTTAGTCACAAGTTATGCTGACAAGCTGAGCGTATAAACTGGACAAATTTAAGATTGAAGCTGGTGAAAAAAAAATTTATCCGACTCTTGTTTGATGTACGAATATGAACATTTATAGTCCAATTATCTTGACCGAATCAGCCCCAACCATAATCCTGATCATTAATAAACTAAAACTAAATCCTCAGCAGTATTAAACATACTTTTATGAGCAGTACACTGAGACTATAAACACACCTAACAAAAAACTGCACTGTGCTTTCATTACTACCAACTGCAATGAAGTGTACAAAGCTGCATAATGATATGAATTATGAATCCATCTTCATGTATCATCTATGTATGACATGTACATTCTGTTTATTTCTTTTGTCCCTGATGATCAAAAAAAAATTGTTGACTAACGCTAATGAGCCTAACGAAGCAGACTGCCCTCCTTTCAGTTTGTTAGCACAGTTGCTGAGCCAGAACACAGGCCTGGTCTGTCTGCAGCCTGCCATTGAGGATGAGCAAGTGTGCAGCCATGTGCATCTATGTGGGCGTACTGAGCTTCATACGTGACTCGTCTGTGCAGCGTGCATCGGGAGCATGAGGCAGATTTAGTCACGTATAGGGCAGATTTGAAGAACATTATGAGACAGTAGTGGGGAAAAAAAAGGACACAGAAGGCAATGAAATGCTGCCTGTTCTTACAATAATCCTGGATGTTCCATGTGGTTGCTAAAAAAACCAGTCAGTGCAGATAAAGTTTCCAAACCTGTAATAGTAAAGCGACTGAATCAAATCCGGTCATTCAAAATGATGAAACAGCGCGGGAAGACAGTGTGGCCATCGATTGCTCCACGCTACATCTGCTGCTCTTCCCCCTCCCTCCCTCCCTATTTTTTTTTTTTTATCCCCGAGGCCACGCCCACCACCATTGTGCTCCACGCGGTGTTCCCATGGCAACTAGGTGGCGAAGCTTGCCGGCTGTTGTCACACTGTGGTCTTTCAGAGAGGGAAGGACGGAGTGAGAAAATAATGCTTGCGCGATAGGCCTCAGTGAAAAGGAGGGACATTACCATCTGAAAGCGACAGGTAGAGCCGGGAGTCGCAGCCAAAAGACTTCAAGCTCAGACCCTCCAGCTGCGCCAACCTCCGCCGCATTTGTTCCGCTGCCGTGGATAAATGAGCGGATTTGAAGTTTTCTTATCAAAAGATAACGTCCCTGCTCGTGCTTAAATGTCACAGCCGCACCTGATTATGTTTCCGCGCATCAAACGAGATGCTCAGCTGGCTGGTTGCTGCTTGAAAATGCCAAACATGTCAGAGGGCAGGAGGCAACGCACCGGCCCCCTAGAGCAAGAAATAAAAAATGGCAGCAGCTCTCAATGAGAATCCATTCAACGTCTAACCACACACGTACCTCGTGAACTTCGTGAAGCGGCTGGTGTGAGAAACGTTTCTCTTTCAGTTCCTGTAGACTTCTTTCTCTCTCTTTGCACGTGCAGGTGATATCCCCTACCTGAAACCAGACGCGGCATTTGAAGGCAGCAAACTGGGAGTCGACAATATCGTCTTGGCTCTGTACAGCGGCCTCTTTGCTTTCGGAGGCTGGTGAGGCATTTGTGATCTATTTTGACGCAACTGCAGACCAGAAATAGAAACCGTTTATTCATAGCTGCAAACATTTTGCCTTCTCAATACAACACACAGTAATTAAAGTATCTAACAAATCCCTAAAATACTTCTAAACTCTTTTTTTTTTCTTCTTCTTCCAGGAACTACCTGAATTATGTTACCGAAGAGATGATCAATCCAGAGAGGTGACTTAAGTGCGATGAAGGTTGTTTTGAGGATTGTACAGACTCTATGCCAACAGCATGACTTTTCTTGTCCATGACTGAGCTTGTCTGCCATCAGTTTACTGCATGGAGATAAACAACACAAAGCAAACAGTTAAAAGCTCTGGTTTGTTTGGCCACCCCCAGTGTGATGACTGAAATATAACATTTTACAGAGAAGCACGAGACCCTTTAACCCTATTCAGGACTTCCATATGTAGAAGGTCTGTCGGAGTCCATTGGACCCCAAGAAAGAATATGTGCAAAACATTTGTTGGTATTCATTACAGACTTTTATACGATGTTAAATACATTTTCTGATAAGTTGACATATTTTTGGTTCCAAATACGTGACAAATGTCCCTCCTTTTACATTTAAAAAAGTCTTCAAACATAAAAAACAATACCTGTCACCTAAACCAAATGGCCTGAGGTCCAAAAGACCCCACAAGTCCTGAATAGGGTTAGGTAATATATCATGTTTTCTCTTAGACTGCATAAACACGACTTCAATCTCTTATCTCATAAATACAGTTTATTATTTAAAATGTGCTGTTATAATGTTCTTTCCTCAAATGACCTCTGACCTTTCCCTCTATAGAAACCTGCCCTTGTCCATTATCATATCCATGCCTATCGTGACGGTCGTGTACGTTCTGACCAACCTGGCCTACTTCACCACCATCTCTCCTCAAGTCATGGTGGAGTCCGAGGCTGTCGCTGTGGTGAGCACCGCACTGCGACGTGTAGTGTTACATTTGCAGATCGCTGGTTTGTGAACTCTCATATATGTTTTTGCTGTTTTGCAGAGTTTCGGGGAGTACCATCTCGGTGTGATGTCCTGGCTGATTCCTGTCTTTGTGGGACTGTCCTGCTTTGGAGCCGTCAACGGGTCTCTTTTCACTTCAGCACGGTGTGTGTTGGCACCATAAAACCGAATATTGACTGCATTTTCTTTTCTTTTTTTGTAAGGAGGGAAGGAAGGCATTGTTCCCAGATCCTATTGGTTGGAAATTTTATCTCGGTCAGCTATTCATTGCAAAACAACCAAGTAAAGAGCTTTTTTTTTTTCTTTTCTAGCTTGTTCTATGCTGGAGCTCGAGAGGGTCAGCTCCCTGCTGCTCTGGGATTAGTCCACACAGACCTGTTCACACCGGTGCCATCCCTCATCTTCACAGTAAGACGCCAGCAACTTACAGTTTATAGTTTTTTTTTTTTAATGTCAGACCGGCAAAAAAGCACCATGATGAGACCCAAAAAGGTTAAATAAAGGTGCGTGGATATAACGACAACAATAATAATGATGACTTTATTGATATAGCAGTTTTTGAAAACAGAGTTTACAAAAGAGGGAAAAAAGAAAAGAAAAGAAAAGAAAAGAAACTTTGAACAACAGGAGGCTGGTCAGGTCCAACATGGTTTCAAAAGAGATTATCAAAATAAAGGTTCTCGGAAAAAAGAAAAAAAAAGAGTCCAACAACACCAAATAAAAAAAGTGGAGAAAAAAAAAAATAGAGGGTAAAACCATAAACACAGGGCGAAAAAGCATAATAATACTAGTAATAGTAAATAAGTGAAATAAATACATAAATAAGTAAATAAATGGAGGGTAAAGGAGAATAAAAAGACCAAGGAATTGAATAAAGTAAAAAACAAACAAAAAAACTGAGGTCTAACTTTTATTCACATCTCACATGTTCAAAATGTTACAAATGTTTTTTTTAGATAAGTACAGGTTGTGCCATTTTCCACTAAATCACTCACATGTGTGCCTTTATGGCTTTTTTCTGGCGTGCTTCACTTCAGAAGCTGAGAAAAGTTCACACAGCCCCCAGGCTTCAATTGTATGCAATGAATAACAATAATAGCAAAAGAAACTAATAAAAAATGGATACAAGTTGAATTTTAGGTAAATAACTGTCAGCACAAAAGCATCAGCAAATTCTTGTTTGTTTATTTTCCAAACATAAATTATATTCAACATATTTTTCCTCCATATTTTTTCTCTAGTTATCATTGCAGTGGCTCCAAGCCCAAGACTGATACAATCTCCTCTTTCTCTTGTATTAGTGTTTGCTGTCCATGATGTACGCCATCTCCCAGGACATCTTCTCCGTCATCAACCTCTTCAGCTTCTTCACCTGGCTCTGCGTTGGCATGGCCATTGCCGGCATGCTGTGGCTGCGCTTTACCAAACCTGACCTCAGAAGGCCCATTAAGGTAAAGTGGCCCCGTTTGAAAGGTTATTGCAGGTGATAAATTCTTGCTGCTCCAGAGATCTTCCTGTGAAAAATCCCTTTTTACAGGAGTCACTGAAAGGTGACCCTGGTTCCCCCTTATCCTCAGTCAGTTTTATTTGTCTGCCCCAAAAACACCAAGATGCCTCGAGGTTTCATAAAGCATCTGCTATTTTATAATGAAAGCACCATTGTATCACCGCTCTTGTTACTGGTTGGAAGTGGAGCCATACTGTGTTTCCGAGGAAGGAGGGAGTGGTGTTTGAACGAATACACTGCTCTTTGTTTCTCTTTCATCGTGGGAATATTACCTTGGTTCTTTCATCTTTCCTTTGAGCCTGATTGCTCTCAGCCCATTTGTTTTATAAGATAAACTACGAACAATGAAGAAGTAGAGCTCTCTTCTTTATGTGTAAACCATTCATGAAACAACAGCCGTCTGTTTTTCTGAGCTTCTGTCAGGACAATACACCTCTTGAATCAGTTTTTCATGTTTGTTTTTTTTGCAGAAGTGTTTCATTGTACTCGTCATGGTTACTAATGTAAACAATCTCTCAAAAAACGCTAAAATCTAACAATATCGGTTAAGATATAATAAAAGCGAGATAAGAGAGCAGTCGCAGCATTAACTCACTTAGATGTAACTGTCTGATAAATAAAATACTGCAGCACAGAAACACTCTGGTGCGAGTAAAAGTCAGGCTTCAGAAATGTTACTGAGGCAAAAGCACAACAGTATCAGAATGAACTGTAATAAGTACGAATATTATGTAGGATTGTTTATTTCTACAAAGCTCCAAAAGTTCTAAAACTGGGCTTTTTACAATCTTGTGCATCCAAGAAAAAACCAGCACTGGTCAGAACTTTGTTGGCCCTTCACAGTTGAGAGTAATGCATGCTGTACTTTAAGCTATCTCTGCATTAATATCACTTTAATGCAGTCGCTAATGAAGACAGGTGTACTTTAACAACTCCAGAGGAACTTGAATTTCAAACCAGGGATCAATCAAGTGCTGTATTAAAGTTTAATGAGGCCTCATGACCTATTTTTTTTTTTACCTGTTTTTTCTGCTATTAGTCTCAATCAGACTCCTGCACAATGTTTCAGTGCAAACTAGAGAGTGGCTCTGACTCCACCACTGATTAATATATTATTACACATTATATGCTGTGTATCATATAGCGTGTATATTGTAGGGATGCATGAAAACACTCCACTGAATAACTTATTTCAATAGCATACAGAAAATGGGAACCATGAACAGTCCAACAAATTATTGAAATAGCATGAGTAAAATCTTAGGATAAGAATGCCTAAAGCCTTCGTATTCTCAAAGAGATCTAGACTTACAGGCTACATATATAGATGAATTACAGAAAAACACACAAATCTAGTGGATAACAGTACACATAGCAAACAGGAAGCGTGAACATCAGTTAGAAACATTTGACCCTCCTCAGCACAAAATGCATCAAAAAGTGTACTTTTTTTTTTCTGGGTTGCCGCTATAGCTTAACTGGTTGACCCATGTACAGGGGCTATAGTCCCCGACGCAGCGGTCAGGGGTTCGAATCCTGCCCATGGCCATTCGTTGTAGGTCAGGGGTGCCCAATCCTGGTCCTCGAGAGCCCCTATCCAGCATGTTTTAGATGTTTCCCTCTTCCAACACACCTGGTTTAAATGATCGGCTCATCATCAAGCTGGGCAGAAGCCTGATAACGATCCTGATCATGTGAATCAGGTGTGTTGGAAGAGGGACACATCTAAAACATGCTGGATAGGGGCTCTCGAGGACCAGGATTAGGCACCCCTTTTGTAGGTCCTTCTCCCCACTTTCCTGTCTCACACTCTACTGTCCTGTCAAATAAAAGGCAAAAAAAAAAAGGTGCACTTTTTTCAAATTTTATTTTTTAAACCACAAATACAGTATTCTGAGCTCCACAGCATTATATGTAGGCACAATAACTACTAACTAATGTCACATTTACTATAGTTTAAAGGGGGAAAAAAAATGCTTTGTGTCGTCATGTTTAAGTAGAAAGTAGCAGAAAATACTTGAGTTGAGGAACAAACTTGCTTTCTACCATGTGGTAATAGACACACACAACTTAATAGTTTCAACGACCATTTGCACCATAACTGACCTTCTTGTCACATCATCAGTGATAGTGCCGTTATCATGAAGCCATAATGTGATGTTCTAACCTTCTCTCAACAGGTCAATCATTGTTATGTTTTCTGTTCTGCAGGTGTACCTTTTCATCCCCATCACGTTCGTGTTGGGCTGCGTCTTCATGATCGCCGTGTCCTTCTGGGCGGCTCCGTTCGAGTGCTTGGTCGGCAGCAGCATCATTCTCACAGGCATCCCGGCCTACCTCCTGGGCTACAAGTGGAAGAAACCTCATGTGGTCAAGAAGATGCTGGGTGAGCGAGACGTTTTTTCTTCTTCTTTTTTTGTTTTTTTTAATAGCGCCTTTGTCTATTTGTTCAGGCGAGGCTGGAGGCGCATTCATTACAGTCTGTTGTGAAATTCCTGTGAGAATATGTGGACAGTGATACGTTGGGTTTGTTTGCACAATCGGTGTGAAAGGACTCAGACGAGGCGTCGATGTGATGTTTGATCAAATCTTACAACATTTGACCCGTAGTAACCCGGCAAAAAGAAAACAGATAATGTGATGAGTGTTTTCTCCTCAGAAATCTTCACGATGTTCTGTCAGAAGATCTTCATGTCTGTTCCCGAGGAGAGGGAGCAGCACGAGGCGGCTGAGTAGTGCCGGACAAAGCAAACACAAGACGAAAGACTGAGTCGATATTTTTGTCTGAACATTCTTGTAATGTTTACATTCATTCACTTGTGAATTGGCTATTCTATTTTTTTAAACCCTTTGTCTAAGCAGGCAGGTAACTGTGGAGGGATACAAATGAAATCATTCACAGAAAGTGGCCCGGCAAGCTTTGTAAAGGAGAGTTTATGTGAGTTGGAGGCATATTTTATGAACGCTACAAACTGTTTAAAATGTCAAGAAGTCTAGTGAGGATTTGACATTTACACATTTTCCACGGCTTTTTGTTCTCGACTTATTTGACAATTATACCTCCTTTCATGTTGCGTCTTAGTTGATGGATGCTTTGATTTTTTTTATTTTCTTTGAGATATACTGCAAACACAAGATCAGAAGCTGCACACAGCTAGTGGCCTAAAACATGAAAGTTTACTGTCCCCATGCGGTGTACAAATGAGTAGTTTAGAGAGAAATTAAAAAGATTTAGGCTTTTTTTTTTTACATTTAATGAAACTAACAATCAAACTTAACATACTTTACAATAGTTTTATAGATCCTGAAAACTAACAACCTTTCAGTCAAAACTGAGGACTTTGACTAATCTGAAGTAGAAAAAGAAGAAGAAAATCCCGTGTAATGAGGTCAGATCTGGAAGCGTAGCACTAGCACTGATTAGTACTGAAAACAGTATACTCATACTGATATCTGCTGATTTCCATATTTGTATTTTTTGTATTCATTTCTACAATAAATCTGAAGCACTGTCTTAAAGCACAAAGTAAAGTGAGATAAAACAGTGTTTGTAATGTTTTCTGACGATGTGTTGCTGTGAAGCGGGTCTGTCTCTTGTATCATTCCGGTCCGATATTAAACCCTGTCAGCTGCTGACGTCATGACACTCGATGAAATGATGACGGACGCCAGCGCCTCTGTTTGTGAGGCTTTGTTATAGGAAGCTGAACGCCTGCGTAGATATCAGTGTAGTGGCTGAATTCAGTGTTAGTGTTTGTATTGAATGTACTTGTTGTCTGCACCGTCAGTGCTGATATTCAGTTTTTTTTCTTTCTTTCGTTTAATTGTCACTACAAGACCAAAATGAATGTTGCAACTTTCGAGACACAGGCTTCGCTTTTAATTTCATGTACCAGACTTTTAAACTGATGTTTTCCCAAAGTTATTCTAAGCACTTTCCTAGTCCACTCAAGACCAGAAGAAAGCCGTCTCTCAGCGGAAAGCGAAGGAGAGTCGAAGTTGTGTGGGCTGGGAAAGGATTCTGGATTTTGCACAGAATGGGGGAGACATAAACCATTCATCTGTGTATTGTCAGCCTCTACTGATTGTGCTGACGGTCCAGCTTTTGCAGGACATTGTCAAAGCCACTGGAAACGCATATGCCGTTACTGAATAGTAATACATATGAGCCGAAGGCACAAAAACAGTAAAAAAAAAAAAAAAGTCACATTCCTCCAATCTTATTGAAACTTTCAGAATTTCTCACAATGGCACACAGGAGAACAAAGGAAAGCCTGATGGAAAAATGTGTTTATTCTCCATGTGGCAACATCCTTTTTGGGACAAGAGATGAAATATGCTTGTTCTTTTTTGAGAAAAGCTCTTCAGCTATCACCTTCATTTAAAAAGGGAGATTTAAAGCATAAAGATAGATCTGAACATCTGTCATCACTGGTATCTAATGTTTACCACAGATTTGAAGAGGGAAGAAGTGGATGTTTACTGCATATTTTTGAACATAATGCACCTTTTCCACTCCATGATTTAATCATCTTTAGCAGTCAGATAGTTTTAAGCACAACAACATACATAAATAAATCATTCTTTACTTGAGAAATCTGACTGAATTAAAGCAGAGAGCACACTTTGTTTTTCCTGCAAGCCTCCCCATTTACTTTACGCACAACATGCTATATCCGTGTGTGTATTACAATATGTATAAATCAGTAATTCCTTTAATGGCCTGATGAAATGTTATGGAAACAAAAGAAAACCCATATTTTTAATCCTAAATTTGAGAGTATCTATTGTAAACTGTTGCGTCCCGGTGTCCATGGCAGGTACATGTAACAATAAAAGATATTTTGTTCAAAGTTTGCCTGTTTGCATTTTGTGTATCCTCGCAGGATTCAGGAAACTTGATTCCTCGCTGCTCGAGAGCCACAAATGCAGTGTCCTAACATATTAGCATGAGTTAACAAAAGGCCAGCTGCAGCCTCTCTCTGCAGATAACAGTCACCAAACAGAATGAGGAATCCCACAACACGAGATTAGCCTCCATCCAAATGAGGATGTGTCACGCGAGCAACAATTTTCTCCCAAACGTGGGCATTATCGCCTCAGCTATCGAGTGTTTGGGTTGTGGTCCGTTCCGAGACGCTCATCCTTCCTTGTTTGTCTTGTTTGTTGGCTGTCAGACAATGATGCCACTGATGCCTGTGCCGTCAGGAGAGTTCATATCCGTCCAAAGAGGAAATGAGAGCGTCTGATGGCTGCTGATGGAACTGGGATCAGAACTGCTGGATGCAATATTAGCGATAGGGGAGATTGGGCAGGCAAGGAGCCAATATTGCACAAGTGACATGTAGGGTATTTTGTTGCTTTCTGCAAAAAGAGAGGGTATAAAACAGAGACTGGAGCGGTTTATTTTGATTTGTATCATAAGAAATCATCTCATATGGGGGAATCCTTTGGCAAAGTTAGGGGTCAGGCGAGTTTTAGAAGCCTTACAATGTGATTTATTTGAATACAATTATTATTCTGCAGGAACAAAACAAAATGTACGTACAGTAGAGGCTTAATTGTGTTGTACTAGCACCAGAAACCACCAGCAGATGGAGATAGAGGAGCACAGATAGCTAGAGGTTCAGCTGCTTTAATGCTGTTAAATAGACAGAATCAGTCACAACAGTTTCTGTGTATAAAACTCTTCATTTGCATGTTTATTTAAAGCTGGTGAAATCTGTCTGTTTCCTTCATTCCCTTCAGCATGTAAAGAACGTCCTGCTCACAATTGCATCTTTTCCGTCTTATTGAAGTATTTGTCACTTGCATCTTTATTCAATCAAGCTATTTTTTGCTGACAACAGTAGCCTCTCTCCATAATGCTCTATTTACATATTCACATCTGGAGGCTCAGCTGCCCACCAGCCACAGCTGGGGGGGTGAAAGGCCTTGCTCAAGGGCACCTCTGTGGCAGTAAGATGCCGAGGCCTTCCCTTTGTTGTCACCAAAAACATATCAGTGTTACACTTCACCGGCAGCTTAAGTCGCCGGACTGTAATTACGTGATGTTTCTGTCTTTGCGAAAGAGGTCTGAATAACAATGTGGTGAGTTTTTGTGAATCAGCTGTAGGGGGCACTGCGTCATCATCATCATCGGGGAGAGAGAGGGAGAAAAGAGAGAGTGGAGGTGGGGGGGGAGAGAGCTGAAGGGGAGGGATGATAGATTCCATTTCTATTCTGCCTTTAATCCAACTGTGAAATTCATAACTAAAAGGCAGTTCTTTTTTTCTCTCTCTCTCTCTCTCTTCTTTCTTTCTCCTTCTCAGGTAGTTCTCTGAAAGGCCGTGTACTGCTGCACCAACTCCCGAGTTTCATCATCGCACCTTCACCAAAGAACACGGCCGAGGAGCAGAAAAATGTGGCTTGTTATACTGTATTGATGGAGTGTTGGGATTTGAGAAAAATAAATTAAGAAGAAGAAGAAGAAGAAGAAAAAAAAGACAGAACAAACTGCGAAAAGGTTAAAGTTCATGAAGGGAAGGTACCCTCCGAAGCCTACGTCGCTCACCTAATGAGCCGTGGTGACAGCAGTCGCATTAACTTGTGCAACATCAAAGATAGTTCTCCTAATTAACCTCAGACACATGCAGGGGGAATGCAAAGTTATGTTTATGGGCTACTGCAGCTATCAAGATGCCGCTCATCAAGATACTAATGAATCTGTTAGGACTCGGTGATGTAAACTACATGGAAATAAACAGAGACATGCACATCCACGTTTCCACTTTAAACATTTTATTACAGACAAAAGAAAACAAAAAGAAGAATTTTGTGACACAAAAATGAATCTAATGTTGGAACATCAGTGATGCACCAACGACAATTTCTGAAAAAATATTTATTATTCTAATAATCATGTTGTTTGATCATTAATATTTATAATAATAATAATAATAATAATAATAATAATAATAATAATGATGAAAAATGAGCCAAAATGTTACTTCATATCATTCATAAATAAATGTAAAACCTGCAACCAAATTAAATAGAATGACCATATTGTAAAACATATGATATTCAACAAAAACAAAAAAAAAATGGGTTCTCTCATCACTGGCTTTACAAATTAAAGAAGTACGTTTGGCAGGTTTTATACACAAAATTAAAATATCTACCCCCATGACCGTTCCTCTGAAACGTAAATCCTGCGACAGTGAAAAAAAAAAAGAAAGAAAAAAAAAAACCCAACAAAATATCTTAAGAATTTTTTTTTTTTTTATCACAAAAAAAGATAAAGATGAGTTCAACACAATTCTAAAACACCTAATAAAACTAGTCAAAAACTTTTAAAACCCACTGTTATGTTTTTTTCTTTAGTAACATTTCACATTTAGCAACTTTTTTTATTCACCTGTACAAGTGGTGTTGGGACTAAGGGATGGTGGGCGGGGTTACAGGTGGTCCTTAGCGACCGAGAGCGAGAGGAGCTAAAAGGAGAGGTTTCAATCTTTGACCCCTACAGTTCTGTAATGTCCTGAGGCCATGTGGAGAGAGTGACACTCTCTATCAGAGCTCCGCCAGCTGAGGAGGAAAAAATTGAGCATTTTTCAGTCTTTGCATTTCCCCTCTTATTTGGGAGAGATACAAGACCAGTGAACACAGTTTCAACACAAGTTTTAGTGTGTGTATTCCCTCACTGAATCCGCCTGCACAGAAATCACATAACCAAACAAAAAAGGATGTTTAAAAAAAGCAAGGGACTGCAGCTAAATACACACATAAGAGGGATCCATTTTGGTGATATTTACAATCACTCTGTGATAAATAAAGGAAATGAGGGAGTCCTTTACTAAGGGCAAGGATGATTTACAAATGTCTTATGTGTTTTGTGACTATACCTTCATTAAAATGTTGTTTTTCGCTCAATGGGGGTGTTTCAGTCTATCCCGAAGTACATCCACCCCTCATGAGGTGACTATTTTCTAGTTTCCTGCATTAGATTTTCTACCCAAGACTCCTACACTGAGTATGCGTCGAGCATTTCATCTCCCCAATAAGGGCAGTCCATGGCAAACACAGAGTAATGGAGTGAAGAGGAGAGAAAATCATCTCTAAAAAAAAAAAAAAAAATCAAAACAAATTGAGAAGACATTTTTTTGGTCTTCAATTCCAGTATGTTGGCATGAGCTTAAAGCTCACTGCCCCCTCAAAAAAATGGAAAGTTCACTGATAAGGAAAAAAAAAAAAAAAGCAAGAGAAGTGCCTCAGGCTTCTGGCCGATCTAAGTGCTTGGCAAATAGGTGAAGTTACTGTAGCAGTCTTTGGGATTTTCGAAATCCAGCAGAAAAAAAAGAAAAAAAAAGAAAAACAAAAATGGTGTAGAAGCAGATACATCGATGATGTTGTTGTTATGTTAGAAAGCTCCCTGGAGTCTGACATTTGGAGGTCTTTCAATTTCAAGTGAGGTAGAGAGGCTTGTCCCGAGCTCCCATGCCACTGCTGAGAAAGAAAAGAAAGACTGTATTAATGTATGTCTGGATGTATGGCTGCATATAAGCGCAGTGATGTTCTGACTACAGTTTTGTTTATCCTTTCTTTCAACAGGAAATCTCTGAGACATTATGAAATCTTTCTTGTCAAGGAAGGCCTTGCTTAGAGAGCAGCTCCAAAACAAACATAAAAGCTGTCGACAAACAACAGACATCAATAAGCATGAAGTTAAAATTTGCAGATCGCTCGGTACTTGAAATGTCAAATACAAAGTCTGTTCTCCGGTTATCTCTACTGACACACTGGAAATAATTCAGTACCCTCCAAAACTCCCAACTCCGACAATCTGACGCCGAGGGTGAAGGTTTAGGCAAAAGACCGAATCTACTTCAAAGGGCACCAAACATGGTTTGACCCAGGCGTGATCCTATTTGACATCCACATGAATCAGCTCTAAATGCTGCTCGGAGAGGCTGGAAGTCAGAATCTCCAAGCAGCAACACCAAGTTTCAGGTGTGAGACAAAACATTCCTCTTGTGCCTGCTTGAATAGCTTGATTCAATAAAGCAATGTGTGCTGAGCGAAACACAGGGAAACTTAATTGGATGTCACACTTTTCTCCAAGCTTGGTAATAGCATTGTTCTCCTGCTGCATTACTCATTTCAATTTCAAGGAGATGCTTTGCTTTAGCAGGGAAATTGTAGTTTATGATTAATACTGTCTGAGTCTCTGAGTGTGAAAGTGAAGTGGTTTAGAGTAACTCATTTGGAAAATGAGTAACTGTCAGACGACTACTTAGTATTCTGAGCCATCAAATGTTCTGGATTGTACTTACAGTATAGAAGGACGGGACATTTTATTTTTGTAAAGCCTACCTGACGACATTCACCACTAACTTCACGTAATACAGTAACTGCTGCGATGAGCTCACCCGCAATGGCTGGGTCCACAGTCCCTGTTGCAGTACTCACTATCCCAGTCGGGGTTCTGGCCGTGCACTGGATTGGGGGCTCCTGGAGACTGTGAGCCCCCGACGCTGTTCTGGTAATCAGCCTGAATGTGGGAGAATCCCTGCAGACCGGAGGAGGAGGAAGAGGAGGAAGAGGAGAGGTTATATCCTCCTGCAGTAGCTCTGCTACGGTCAGCTATTAGAGTTTGCTGAGCCATGATACTGCATAAGACCAAATGTTGGCAGCAGTGTCTATCAGTGCTTCATAGAGGTAGAAAACAAATACAGCACTTTTCTTCTCTCCCCATTTGCTCTCATTGCTTGTTTTAAAAGGGTTCTCAAAGTCACACTTCTTACTCTGATGTGTTCCTGTGCTGCTGGATTATTGAGAAAAAAGTTGGTTTGGCACAAAAACAGTGAGTGAGGCCTGTTATACAAGTCGAGTGAACTTTAAGCTTTTCTCTTCAGAAAACAGCAGCAACTGATGATAGATAGATAGATAGATAGATAGATAGATA